CCACATGCCCAAAGATACACTTCACACAAAAGACATTTCCAAATAGATCAACCAACCTCATCCAGACCCCACACAACACACTCACAGATCAACACCCCAGCGCTATACTAACTCATCACATCCAGATCTAAGCCTTCACCACTTGATTCAGCAGACCCTCAAGTTCCCCCAAAAGTTTCCAGCCATACACCTTTTGATAGCCTAAGGGCAAGTTTACATGTAAACAAGTTTGCTCTCAATTCCCAGGGCAGAAAAAAAACAAGGTTTAAAATTAAAATTTATTCTTAGAAGTGTAAAAGTTTATTAATTAAAACAACAACAACAACAAAAAAAGGAGATTGAAAAACCTGATGAACAATAATAGCGGTTCATTATAGTAGAGTCGGCAATATGGGAGGGGAGTGGACTGACTGTTCTCGGGGAAAGGGAGGGAGGAAGAGACTGAACATAAACTGTGCACCTATGGATGAGTACAATGGGGGGTGGGGAGGGGGCGGAGGATGGGGTGGGAACCTGGTGGAAGGGAGAAGAAATGAGGAACCTTTGTGATAATATAAACAATAAAGATTGATTTAATAAAATAAAATAAATTTTAAAAAAGTTTCCAGCCACGTCTGAGAGGCAGCCCTGGGGCGTGGGCAGGCGAGGAGCAAGCTGTTCCGGGCCTGGCTGCTCCAGGCTTGGCCTCTGCTGCTCTGGTCCGCTCCACAACCAGCTGCTCCAGGTCTGGCCACTGCCGCTCCCGGCCTGGCTGCTGCTGCTCCAGGCCTGGCTGCTCCCGACCTGGCTGCTCCAGGCCCGGCCGCTCTGGGCCTGGCAGCTCTAGGTTGCTGCTCCGGGCCTGGCTGCTCCCAACCGGTTGTTCTGGGCCCGGCCGCTCAGGGCCTGGACGCTCCCGACCTGGCTGCTCCGGGCTTGGTTGCTGCTTCTTTGGGCCTGGCTGCTCCCGACCCGGCTGCTCTGGGCCCGCCTGCTCTGGGTCCGGCTGCTCCGGGCCTGGCCGCTCCCAGCCTGGCTGAATAATAGACATTTTAATAAAATTAATATTTTTTTTGAACATTAACTTACTAGAATAACTGCACAAATTAATAAGCATAATGTAAATAAACTTATTTTTCTTGTACTCTGAAAGCAAAATATTTCCTGTTGCACACACCAAACAAGTCAGTACAATGAAGTGGCAATTGGTTGCTAAGATATTCGCTGCTAGTATTAGAGGAGAGAAATGGTGAGCTTGCGTGTAAGGAAAATGAATGCAACATGATTATAGTAATCAGTCATGAGCAAACATTGTAGTTTGTTATTAATAATTATGTATAACAGGATATTGTAAAAATTAAGTTACAAAATTTTAATTAAAATGTTTCTTACATACCATTATGTTGGCTGGGCCACAAAAATATTCATTGTGGGCGGAGAGTTTGACATGGTTGGTGTAAAGTATAAATAAGGAAATAAACAGACAAAAATTCCTGTTCTAGGAGTGTGCCTCGCTCACCACAGTCGTGGGGGGAAGGGGCAGGGAAGGATTAGAAAAGACAGACCAGAGAAGAAAGCTGGGACTAGGTGGGACGCTGCCCTCTCTGATTGAGAGACAGTGCCACAGCCTGCAAGCCGAGTCTTTATTTTATAGCTAGTAGATTCTGCCGAAACCGGTTTGGCTCAGTGGATAGAGTGTTGGCCTGCGGACTGAAGGGTCCCGGGTTTGATTCCGGTCAAGGGCATGTACCTTGGGTTGCGGGCACATCCCCAGTGGGGGGTGTGCAGGAGGCAGCTGATCGGTGTTTCTCTCTCACCGATGTTTCTAACTCTCTACCCCTCTCTCTTCCTCTCTAAAAAATCAATAAAATATATATTTTATAGCTAGTAGATTCTGAGAGGCAAAGTATGTCAAGATGTTTGCAATGTTCTCACAGGTTTCAAATCTACTCAATTGCATGCACCTGATCAAGCTTTGTTTGCTTAATGCACCTCCTGCAGCCTATATCACTTAACCACGTGGGACCACAGGTTCCTACCAGAAGGTCAAGCTTACACCTTTAGCCTTTGGCTATAATTGTGCTGGGATTTGCACGTGGCTTTGCCTTGAGAGGATCATGCTCTCTCATTAGTCCCAGACTTGAACCTGTCCAAACACTGTGGCCCCTCTCCGCACTAGAAGCTTTCCTCCATGGGAGTGGGGATGGACAGTGCCCTACATGAGTATATCGATCACGTGCTATGTTAGAAGGTGCTGTGGAGATTAGTGAGACCTGGAGCATAAAGGGTGAGCAGGAGGTGATCTCAGCTTTCAGTGGGGTGCCCAGGGAAGATGTCCCCAAGACAATGGCAAAGAAGCCATCAAGGACCTGTGGGTTTCTGGGACAGAGTACAGGATGCACAAAGGCCCTGAGGTGGGCGTGGGCCTGGCATGTTCCAGGAACAGCGAGGAGACCCGATGGTGGGTGGGTGGCATGAGATCAGAGAGGGGCTGAGCTGGGGACCAAATGGACACATCCTGTGGGCGCTTCCAGGACATTGTAGGGGGTTACACACTTTTAATCTGAGGGAGATGGGAGGCCACTGGAGGGTGTTTTAGCCTCAGGACCCCTGGCCACTGTGTTGAGAATAGACTGGGATCAGGGAATTCAAGTAGAAGCTTTCATCACAGTCCATGCCATAAAGTGGGCAGGAGGGGGCGGGCACTGGACCCTGCAGGGTGAGGTATGAGAAGTGGCTGGATTCTAGATACAGTTATCTTCAGATAGAGCCATCCGGATTGCCTAGTGCAGTGGTCGACAAACTCATTAGTCAACAGAGCCAAATATCAACAGTACAACGATTGAAATTTCTTTTGAGAGCCAAGTTTTTAAAACTTAAACTTCTTCTAACGCCACTTCTTCAAAATAGACTCACCCAGGCCGTGGTATTTTGTGGAAGAGCCACACTCAAGAGGCCAAAGAGCCACATGTGACTCTCGAGCCTCAGTTTGTTGACCACGGCACCACTCTCTTCATCCATTTGACAAATATGTGCCAGGTATTGGAGATGTAGACCTGAATGGAGATGTGGCCCCTTCCTTTGAGGTGTTGGGAATTTAACAGGAAAAGATAGACGGAGAATTGATAAGCTTGCTCCCTGTGTACCAGGTGTGGGCTAGAGAAGCAGCGCTAGAACTATACCCAGATGGCCTCCAAGCTGGTACCCCTGCCTTCCCTATCCCCCCAGCTTCCCACCAACCCCAAGACTCCAGCTTCTTGTTCTCAACACCACACCCTTCAGCGTCGCAGCTAACCTCCGGACTCTCGGGAACCTTCTCTCTGCCTCACTCTTTTCCTTACCCCTGGACTGGTCTCTGAACTACACTGCTGACAGGGGCCTGGAGCATTTTACATTTGTTTTACAGAAAAGGGAACTGAGCTATAGAGAGCTCCATTAAGCCAACGTTAACATCAGTTTCCCAGGTCTGTAAAAATGTGGTTGGAAAATCTGGTGGGAAGTCCTTTAAAGGGCCTGGACTTAAAGAGAGAAGGCAGGTGAAGGTCGTAGAGGAACCGACGTGTGGAGGTCCCGTAGCTCCTGTGTGGAGCTGCTGGGGTGGAGCCTGGCTCCCAGCTCCCGGTTCTGTGACCCGTTTTCAGTCGCTCGAGTGATGACTTAGCTCTCTTGCCAGTGAAAAAAAGCATTTCTGGCTGCAGCAGGAGTGCCTCTAGTGAGACATGGGGTGGACGCTCGCTGGACTGCCCAAGGAGCCTGTGGAACCCCTTGCCCTGGGAAGCTTTGAGAAGAGACATCTTGCTGGATCTTGGTTTTAGGCACAGCCCAGCCCACAGGGTGGTGTCCCCAGGGTCTGGTTCTTCCCTTCCCCCTTCCCCTGACAGACAGACCAGTGCTCCAGGCCAGCAAGTTCTGGCAGACGAGACCTCCTGAGGGTGGCCTCTTAATTCAGCCTTGGCAGTGCAGAAAGGTCAGCGGAGGGGGGGGGGGCAGCGTGGCCTTGGCTGAGCTCTCTTTTTACAACCCAGGTGGCGGGTAGCCCACTCGTCCTGCCTCCCCTGCACCAGCGGCTTCCTTGCTCATGGCCACAGCCCTCCAGGCTCGGCGAGCCCAGAAGGTCAGGGCAGGCTGGCGGCTGGGCCTTCTGGCCCAAACCCTTTCTCCCTCCCTCTCCCCAACCCAATGCCCTTCTTTATGGTCTAATCCTCCCAGTGGTCAGGGTCCAGCTGAACACTCACCTGACCACCTAGCCTGAACTGACCACTCGTTCTCAGAGCACACTGCCTGGTGCCTGTCCGTAGCACGAGCTGGAGTTGTTGTGTGGGCACATGTCTCTCCCCAGCTAGGTGGTGAGCTCTTTGACTCAGGGACCCCTTTTCATAATCTCATCTACGATAACAGGCACTCTTCCTGGGTCTCTGACATAGCGTCAGCCTCTAGGATGGAGACCTGTTTTGCCTGGTCTCCTCAGAGCCATGGAGCGAAAGAGTGGTTGGCCTGGGTTTGTTTATCTGGGTTAAGGGCCTCAGACCTCCTCTGGGGATAGTCAGTGTGTCAGCACTTGTGTTCCCATGCTCCCTGCTTCACACAGACAGGACATCTTGTAAGGGCCTGTGCGCTTGTGGGGTGGTAGGGACTGGGGGAGTTGCACAGGGAAAAGGCGAAGGCCCAGGCACTTCCTTGCAGCCTCTCAAGTGCTCAGAAGGCCCAGGAGAAGTGGGAGCTGAGAGGCAGCTGTCCGGCTGTCATGGGCAGAGGGGAGGAGGTGGCCACGTGATAAGGAGGAGGCTCTGAGAGGGCGCCTCAAGCTGTGTGTCCAGCGGGAGGCCATGGCCCTGGCACCGCCTCGTTCTCAGGTGACCAGCCCACCAGCAAGGCCTCAGCACCCAAGGATGGCAAGAGTGAATTCGCATAGTCCTCACCCCAGGTGCCCACTCACGGTGGGCAGAGGGTGCCGGAAGGGACCTCTCATTAGCCTGCCTTTGGTCCCTCTCCTCCCACTGAAGGCTCTTTCATTTCCACAGGTCGGAATGAGCTGATTGCTCGTTACATCAAGATCCGGACCGGGAAGACCCGCACCAGGAAGCAGGTGGGCCCTGGGAGACGGGTATGGGTCCTCGGGCAGGCACCCGGCACCAGCCTGCTCCCAAGGTGGGCCAGGTCCTCCTCAGGACTAAGTGTTGGCTCTCTGCGGGACCGGCTTGGGGGTGGGTTGTCTCTTTTTGGTGTGCCACGGACAGTTCATTTTCCCTGCCGCCCCTGCTGCTGTCCCTCGTTTTCCTGGGGAGTCAGCAGCCCCCTCCCCATCCTTCTCCAAGACAGCAGAGAATAGAAAGCAAAGCCCTGGAGCTGCACGTTTATTTATTGCCCAGCTGTGGATTAGACGACTGAGGGCCCCTCATTGGCGGACCCTTTCTTTCATTCACGCATGCGTCCATTCACTCCTTTAGTCCACAGAAGTGGATGGAGGCCCGTGGAGGGCTGAGGGTCAGGGTCCAGGCTGGGAGCCAGGCTGTCTGGGACGTAGGGTCAGGAGCCTTCTCTTCTTGCCATAGGTCTCCAGCCACATCCAGGTGCTGGCTCGTCGCAAAGCCCGTGAGATCCAGGCCAAGCTAAAGGTAAGGCCTGTGGCAGCTGTGGGGGGAAGGACCTAGGGCACAGATGGGGCCGTTTGGGAAGTTGGGGCTCTTTTTCCAGCAGGAAAAGGCTTCCCTTTGTGTTTCGGGCTGGCTGCTTGTGTATGGAGCCAGCATGCTTCTTGGTATTGGGGAGAGTGGGGTTCAGCCTGTAACCTCTCCTGTCTGCACAGGGAGGGGCACTTGACCTTAGAGCCACGTGTGTGACTACAGGGCTCCACAGTGTCCTGGGGCCACAGGTCAGTCTCCTGTGCCCCCCACCCTCCGGGGGCAGTGCCCTCACCAGATCACAGCGGAACACCCTCCAGACCCCACTCCCGGAAGCCTCCTGGAGCCCCCTGGCTGGTGCCATCAGCTGGCGCCTCCCGGGTGGTCAGGCACAGGAGGCATTGCTGTGGTGGTTCAGATGCTGCTGTGGGAGCAGGTGGAATTCCTTCCCACGCCCTGCTCTCCGGGACTGGCAGTTCCTTCCCTTTCCGGGATCAGCCCCTCCTTGAGTGACAGGTGACTGTTCTGTGGAGGGCCAGCTGCTGGCAGCATTCCCTTCGGGGCGGCCCTGCTCCCCACAGGACCCAGGCCTCTCGGACCCTGGCCAGGGGGCCCTTTTGAAGGAAGCATTGCATGGAGGTGTTAAGTCTCTCCAGCCACTTGGTAAGAAGAGTTAATAACATTTGGGGGCATTAGACTAAGACAGTGGTTGGCAAACTCATTAGTCAACAGAGACAAATATCAACGGTACAACGATTGAAATCTCTTTTGAGAGCCATAAACCAACTTCTGCGCATGGGCCATGAAGTTTCAATCACTCTGTGTGTGCGCGCCCACGCGTGGTATTTTGTGGCAGAGCCACACTCAAGGGGCCAAAGGCCACGATTTGCCGACCACTGGACTAAGACCAGCAGTTTACAAACAATTTTTGTAAAGCAGTATAAGTCCCTTTAGTTTTGTTTCCCCCAAACAAATATCACCCCAATTTGTTATTAAAGGAACTACTTGGGTCAACGCTAGGCTGGTGAGGAACAGATCAGAGGCCAGAGACTCCCTCCTTCTATTCACCTCTCATGCCCATGGCTCTCGAACCCCAAATTACCCAGTTTAAAAGCCCTGGACTAGATGACCTTGAAGGTCCTGTGTGGCCCAGTGGTTCACAATCCGACTCTGGAGGTTCTGAATGAGTGGGTGAGGACGCCTAGGGAGCCACACCCTCCCGCTTCTAAGCTTTTTCCTCCTGCCAGCAGCCCAGCTGTCCCCACCCCCTCTGTCCCCGGACAGCTGGCTGGGCCTCAGCTGTTCATGCCTCCCTCTCAGGCTGGCACATGCCCCTCCAGGCCATCCTCAGGGTCCTGGAGCCCAGCTTGCCCCTCGTGTCCCCCTCTGGTCTGCCTCTGACTCACTGGGACCCTGGGCGGGGACCAGAGTCCGGAACAGACTTTCCAGTGTTCTGTTTAGAGTCATTGAGGGGAACTTGTAGTTCATTGAGCCTGGCTGTGCGGCTCACATTTGCTTAGAGGAATTGCTCTCCTCCTTGTCCACAGACTCTAACTTGGGGCCCAGGGACAACCACTAGGCAAACATCAGGGAACCATGAGCCCCTTAAACAATATGCAGATTTTCACTCCTATGTGGAGAGTGGCCTGAGGATTTCATCAGACGCTCAGAGGGGTTTCAGAGCAAGGTCAGGTAGACATCCTCCGGGTTCCAGGCTTGGTCTGGCCTCACTCTGCCTTGTGCTGCATGAGCTTAGGTGAATCGCTGCCGCTTCCTGAGCCCCAGCCAGCCTCCCTGTGTGTAAATGACAGGGTTAGGCAAAGCAGTATCCAATAAGCACACCCTCAGGTGAGGTAAAAAGCATTATTAGTACTGTTAGTATTGTTAGCAGTGTCATATGTGCTTATCTAAGTGGTGTGGGGGTGAGCAAGCCTGTGCAGGGGAATCTGTTCTTCAGGTTGGACCCACGGAGGGCAGACAGCCAGTGGTTATGGTACATCCTGACTAAAGAGCAGGGAGTGCTGGGGCCCCCACGGGGCAGGATTGAGACAGGTGGGGTCCCAGGAGATTGTCCGTGCCTCCAAACAGCCAAGGATGACCCCCTGCTCACCCTAGGGGGATCCGACAGAATTATGTGTCATCTGCTGTGAGCCAGGCTGCCCCAGCCACCAGTGGGGTGGGGATGAGCAAGAACTGAAAGGTTCCTGTTCTCAGCTTGTGGTCGCCAGAAGGGAGGGGAGAGGGTGGAAAAGGTGAGGGGGAATAAGTAGTACAAACTTGCAGTTATAAAATAGATGAACCACAGGGGTGTAATGTGCAGCACAGGAATACAGTCAGTAATACTGTGATAACTTCGCATCATGACGGATGGTTACTAAACTTAGTGTGGAGATCATATTGTAAGGTATGTGTTAACTCACTATTTTGTACATCTGAAATTAATACACTATTGTATGCCACCTATACTTCAATAAAAATTTGTTTTTTAGTCTGAAAAATAAGTAAATAAATAAAAGGTCCCTGTTCTCATGTCCGTGGTAGTAAATGGAAATATATGGTCTAGCAAATGGTGTCCAGAGTCTCTTTACGTGCTAGTCACATAAGCAGGACAAGTATTGTGCCTCTTTGAGAGATGAAGAAACTGATCTGAGGAACCACGTGACTTGCTCAGAGTCACAAAGTAAAGTAATAGCTTTGCAAGAACATATGCCTGTTCCCTGGGGGCCTGCCTAGTCCAGGGCTCTGGCCGCGGACAGTGGGACAGCTTCCCTGACAGTGGGACAGGCCCTCCCTGCCTCGCCTCGCCGCTGCTGAGGCCCTCCCCTCCGCTGTCTTCCCCCAGGATCAGGCAGCTAAGGACAAGGCCCTGCAGAGCATGGCTGCTATGTCGTCCGCCCAGATCATCTCCGCCACAGCCTTCCACAGTAAAATGGCCCTTGCCCGGGGCCCTGGCTGCCCAGCAGTCTCAGGGGTAAGTGGGGCTGCCTGGAGCCAGAGGCCAAACCAGCCTCTCCTTCTCGCTCCTCCCCCTTCTGCAGAGCCAGAGTGCCGGCCAGACCAAATTTCTCTTACTTGAGACCTCGCAGGCCAGGCGAGCCCGGGGGAAGGAGGGACCAAGGACCGAAGGGCCATGCTGGGTGGCAGCTCAGCTGGTATTGGAACTACCTTCCTGGGGGTATTGGCAGGAGCACAGCAGACCTTGCACGAGGGACAGGGTCGCCCCCATTAGCTGACCACCCAGGAGGCTCCACAGAGTTGGCCTAATGGACCAAAGGAGAAGCCGAAGTTGTGGGGACGGGGGCTGAAGCCGGGCTCTGGTGCGGGCCAGCGTGGCTCTGAGTGGTCCTGCCACTTGGCCGGGTCCTCACTCCTCCCTCAGGTCCCCACTCCTCCCTCCAGCTGCAGGACTGATGTCCATCAACAAACTCTTGTACGAATTTTAAATGTTTGGCCTAAGAGCTGGCCTCTCAGCCATGGCCAGGGGGCTCACCCTGTCAGAAAGGCCCTGACAGGCTCCTCCTCCCCAGGGCTGTGTTCTCACGGGGTTTTCTTCGCTGCAGGGACTAAACGGGTCTTCAAGAGCCGCCCAAGAGGCAGTGCCAGGCCCTGTCCTGGGCTCGGGGAAGCTCATGTCCAGCAGTTTTTCCAAGGGTGATCCAGAGAGCTTTAGTCCGCAGACTGGTTAGATAGATAGGACACTAAGGGATTCTATGCTTACGTAAGTTTGGGGCACTTAGGACTGACTTGGTTTCCTGACTGTAGGACTGTTCAGAGCCTTACGTGCTGCTGTGCACTGTGAATCTCTCTCTCTCATGGAGGAATAGGAGATGCTGTTTACCCAGCGGGGTGCTTCTCCCTGGAAGCACCGTGTAAGCAGGGCGTGTCCGAGACCAGAGTGCCTGAGACACACGGGGACGCGCTGTAGCCACGCTCGTCTAGACAGTAGCAGTAACTCTCCCTGCACCCACGGGCCCAGGCTCCAGCTGAGGCCACAGCACCGACTCCCCACGCCAGGGCCCTTGTGCACGTGGGCTATGCTGACTCTACGCTTTTTGCCTCCTCAGTTTTGGCAAGGAGCTTTGCCGGGCCAAGCCGGAACATCCCACGAGTGAGTATGGTCGGCTCCCAGCTGCCCCTGAACCGACCTGGGGTGCACACACTCGAGAGGTTGAGCCTGGGCCGCAGGGTGGGACAGGGCTGCACTTTGGGGTCCACCTTTTACTACGGCCTTGAGCTTGGGGATCTGGCTCTCCTGCTCTCAGGCAGCAGCTCAGTCTACCCTGTGGACACCCTGCGCTGGCGGTGGCATTTGCCAAAACACCAGTCTGTCCATGGGGTAGCAGGGGCAGGGGTTGGGACCCCAAGGGCTGGCCTGGGAGGGAGGGACAGAGAGGGGTGGGTTTTTCAGTAGACATGCTGCTTCTGTGGATCAGCCCTGAAACACGAGGGAGTTGGCAAGAGAGGAAGTGGAGGCCAAAGCCACCAAGGCCACCGATGACCAGACCTCCGCCCTGCCGCACAGAGAGCGATGGACGCTGCCAGAGGCTCGGGGGCTGCATCCCGCCCGGGGCTTACACCGCCTCTCTTCCCCTCCCGCAGTGTGAAACCTTTCTCTCAGCAAACCTACACTGTCCAGCCTTCGCTGCCTCTGCCAGGTGGGTCTGCGGTGAACAGCTCCCTCGCCCGTCGCACCCCTGCGGCTCCCGCCTCCGGTCCCAGGTGCCCGGCAGCTGGAAAGGGAACCCTTAGTAGCAGAGGGAACCCCTCCTGGGAAGAGGCCCGGAGCAGGCGCAGGTCCAGCAGCTGGGCCAGCGCAGGAGCTCACCCCCTCGCTCTGCTCAGGTGACCAGCTCTGTCCTTGCCTCTTTCTCGTGAGGGTCCCTCCCATGTTCCACTCCGCAGGGCAAGAAGGGTCCTCACCCTTCAGCACCTTTTCTGGCTCGGGGAGTGGCTGCTGCCCACATTGTGCCTGGCCTTTCCTGCTCCGAGGGCTGCCGCCTGGGTTCCTCCCTGCCCTGTGCGTCTGCCTTCTCCTGTCCTGGCCTCCCTGGCCTCCCTGGCCTTGCTCAGGCCTTCCTAGATCTTGTCCCTGGATTACAGCAGCAGCCTCTTACCTGGCTCCAGGGCTCCAGTCTCTTCCCTTCACCCTGTAATCCCCCTAGTCATCTCTTTAAAGCACCCATTTCAACATGTTGCCTCTAGGCGTGGAACCCTGTCATGGCGCTGGTGCCTTCAGGGTACAATGTGAACTGGTAGGACTTGCAGGGCTCCTCTGTTAAGCCTCACCTTTCTCCCCTCTCCTCCCCTCCCTCACCACTGCCCTCCCTGTCTCAGCGCTGTGGTTCAGGCCTCCTTACCCCCCAGATTAGGCGCCCTGCTGTTGGCCCCTGAGCACTGCACCCCACCCAGCATCTGACTGTGGTCATCTGTGGCTGATTTGTCCACCTTCTCCAGTGCCCTGTCCTGCCGCTCTCAGCAGGTCCTCGGGAAGCATGCTTGAACAAATGAATGAATGACTCAGCTGATGTCAGGCACAGACTAATGTGCCTGTCCAGCTCGGCCCCTGCCACCCTTCTGGCTACCATTTCTTCCCCACCTCCCTTCTTGAACCTCAGTGTATGGGGCCTCCATTCATCAGACGCCCAGCCCGAAAGGAACATTAGTGCCGTCCGGGCGGCCTTGCTGCTCTCTCGTCCGTCAGTCTCCAAGGCCTGGGCCTGTCCTTGCTTCCTGTCCCTCTGTGCCCTCCTCTTCTCTCCACCGCACTTAGTTCAGATCCCGCAGGACTGTGCTTCTGACCTGCCTTGCCCACCCTGCCAGTCCTCCTTCAGACGGAATAGGGTCTCTCAGAAATGCAGCTCTGAGCATTTCCCTGCCCCGCCTAAAATCCTGCCCCTCTCTTCAGCCTTGTTCCTGCCCCTGGTACAAACTCACAGACTGGAGTTCTACCACAGACTGGAGTTCCCAAACTCGGGGAGCGTCTCACAGCCCCCAGGCCTTTGCCTCTGCTGTGTCCTCTGCTCCTCTGCCCCGAACACCTTTTCCCTGGCTTCACCTCCTGCTTCTACATCATCGCTTCTTTCAGTCGTCACCTTCGGGAAAACCTTTCCTGTCCACCCCGAGTTGGACTAGGAGCTCCCCTTCGGTGCTGAGTGTATACCTTGTCGATTTTAGTCCCATTCGTGACTTCCTCTACTGCAGACCTGTGTCAGAGCGCCTGTCCTGGGCCAGGCACTGCTCGGTGCTGGAGAGAGAGCAGGGAATCCCGCAGGAGACGTTCTCTATGTCGATGTGATTAATGATGGTCTGGTAGCTCCGCTGGACCAGAAGCTCCTTGAGGGCAAGAACCCAGCAGAGCCTGCTCCGGAAGCCCTTTCGGCCCAGCAGGCATGCAGTCTCTCCGGAGTGCAGGGCAAGGGGACTGAGTCGTACCAGGCAGGCTAAGCCCTCCCTCCACCAGGGCTGCTCCTGGACTTGCCAGCCAGTGCTTTGCTCTCCCCTCCACCCCCCTGTCAGAGCCCATTTAGGGAAGGATGGTGATTCCCTTGCTAGCACGGTCTCACCAGTGGGCCTGGGGTCCTCACAAAAGCTGTTGGCAGGGAGGGCATGTGTGAACAGGCTCACATGTGCCTCTCCCACTGCCTGCAGGGTTCGAGTCTCCTTCAGGAGCCGCCCCGTCGCCCTCAGCACCCCCAGCACCCCCATGGCAGGGCCGCAGCGTGGCCAGCTCCAAGCTCTGGATGCTGGAGTTCTCTGCCTTCCTGGAGCAGCAGCAAGACCCCGATACGGTAGGTCCTGGTCCCTGTCTGGCTGCTCTTTCACCCCGGAGCTCCCCCACCTTCTCCTGCTCTTGTTCCTCCTGCCCCTGGCTTCCTAGCCCAACCCTCTGCCCCACTCAGCTGTGGGCTTGACTTTAGGTTCCTCATTTCTTTACAGCCTTTCCTTCCCTTGAACTTCTCTCCCCTTTTTCTTTCCTTCCTCAAGCCCCTCCCTCTTCTTCCCTCACTTCACCTTCCGTCCCAAAACCCTCCCACGGTTTCTTTGCTCCACTTCCATTCTCTCAGGTCCTCCCCCTTTCCTGCTCCCTCCCTGACCTCTATTCTTCCCTCCATGTTCCCTTCCCTCCCAGTGAAACCGCTCATCCCAGCCTCACCCATCCTTTCCCTGTGGCTCTGACCCACTCCCCCTTCAGCGGCTGGTTCCTAGGGGATCAGTGTCCCCTGCAAAGGTCAGATTAGTACGGGGAAGAGGCTGGGCAGACAGGGACTTTGTGGCCGTCTCACTGTGACATTTCCAACTTGTCTTTTAGCTGAGAAACTCGTTAGTCAAACAAGCTCCTTCTCAGAAGCCCACTGTGTGCAACAAAAATAGATATCGTTTGGCTGTAGCAACAGAGGCGCCCAGCCTTGTCTCCACGGGTGGAGCACAGTTCGAAAACACCTCTAGGTCAGTGGTCTGGCCTCACAGGTGAAATAACAGAGGCCCAAAGACAGAAAAAGACTTGCCTAAAGACAGCTCTTGGTAGAGGCAGGACTACGAATAGTACAAATAACAGCTACAATTTGTTGAGCACCTACTGGGTGCCAGACACCACACCATATGCTGTATACCATCCCTTTTTAATTTTGCTTTATAGTCAATCCTTTGTCTCCATTTTACTAATGGGGAAACTGAGGTCCAGAGAGGTGGGGCTACTCACTCCCCGTCGCACGGCTGGGATCTGAGTCTGGTCCATTTTGTCTGTCCTGCCACCCCTGCCGCTCCCTCAGACCAGCTGTTCTCTCCACAGTACAACAAGCACCTGTTCGTACACATTGGCCAGTCAAGCCCAAGCTACAGTGACCCCTACCTTGAAGCCGTGGACATCCGCCAGATCTATGACAAGTTCCCAGAGAAAAAGGGTGGCCTCAAGGAGCTCTTTGAACGGGGACCTTCCAATGCCTTTTTTCTCGTGAAGTTCTGGGTAAGCCCTCGATAGACTCTCCCTCTCTACCCCCAGCACGCTGATGAAAGTGAGGAGAAAAGAGAGAGAGAGAGAGAGGCATCCGGTGTTCTTGCCATGGTGGAAACCTGGGGAGCACAGGGCCAGTGAGAAGGGGAGGAGCGAGCACCGATGGCTGAGCCTGGGAGCTGGGCCAGTGGGGCTGGCGAGCTGGGCTAGTACGAGGCCCTTTTCTGAGCCGTGGCAAAGGCAGCCAGGCCCAGCACAAGAACAGCCTTTAGAGGGCCGCAGTATTGGAAGACTTACAGGAGATACTGAGGGGTAGGTGAAGAGCTAGCGTGGACCCCCAGTCACCTTAGTCTTTGAATGGCAAGTCCTGAGTGGGTTGTAGGGCCTGGAGCAGGGCAGTTGGTTCCTAAAGGCTCATCTCCAAGGACAGGGCTTGAAGAAGAAGACTTAGGTCTAGGAAATGTCACCCCAGAAGAATCACTCACCTAACTTTACAAACAGCTCAGCCTGTAGACTTGGTCCCTGCTGCTCACTTCCACTCGCCCCTGGATGGGTGTTAGAGTTCCATCCTTTCAAAATATCTTCTTCAAGAGTAAGGGGCATAATTAATACCTGCTCTAGAGCTTGCTTTTAGGGGCCCAGTACACACGGAAAAGGGATGTAGGGCCCAGCTGGAGTGGCTTAGTGGTTGAGCGTCGACCTATGAACCAGGAGGTCACAGTTTGATTCCTGGTCAGGGCACATGCCCGGGTTGTAGGCTTGGTCCCCAATATGGGGTGTGCAGGAAGCAGCCTATCAATGATTCTGATCGTTGATGTTTCTTCCTCTCCTTCCATCTCTGAAATCAATAAAATAAAAAAAAAATTAAAAAAGAAAAGAAAAGAAAAGGGTTGTAGGGAAGACTCAGACAAGTGCAAACTAAGTCAACAGCGAGGAAGTGCAGGAAATCCTCTGGTTTGTGATTGGAGCCTTTGAATAGTTTCAGGGCACTGACACAGGCCTGGGCGGCTCCTCCCACATTCCTCTCCCTAGCACCCTTATTAACACCCAGAGACAGCTCAGGGTTTCGTATCCTTTGCGAGGTCCCAGACCACTTTGATTACCTGGAAGCTTTACTTTTCATAGAAATAGGCTTATGCACACTAAATTTTACACAGTACACATTTCTAGGTGGCTTACCGGGCCCTGGCTGGACTCCTAGCCTAGCTCTCACCTACAACAAACCCTCAGGGCTGGCTCTCTCCAGAGAGGCAGGTGCTGGCACTGAGACCCACGCCCTGATCTTCCAGGTGCTTAGTTTTTGCACTCTGCGAGACAGCGGGTCCGTGATCAGGGTGGCAGTGGGACCTGAGCCTTTGGGGGGGAGATCTATTAGACAGGGATGGGAAAGGCTATTACAGCCTGGGGAAGGCATAGGAAGTGGGCTCCAGAGGGAAAGTCATAGATACAGGTGTGTGAGGGGATAACAGAAATAAAACTGCAAAGGTGTTAGATCCTGGGAGGCCCTGATCATAAGAAGTTTGGGTTTTAATCTATCCTGGGATGAAAAGCAGGTAATCATTTCTTTTACTTTTATCTTTTAAATTAATGCGTGCTCATGTTATATTGTTTAATACCAAGAGGTTTCCAATGAAATTCAACAGATTCTTGTCCTACTCCTCCCCAATCCCAATCCCCAGAGACAGTCGCTGTAAATTTTCAATGTTTATTCTGTCTTTTATCTTCCTAATTCTTAATAATATGCTTATACTGACATACCTGGATGTCATGACCAAGATATTTATTCTTATGTCAGAAAAAATTAGCTGGGAGAGGGAGGGAGGAATGAAGAAAGGGAGGAAGGGAGAGAGAGAGGAGAAAGAGAAACATTGATTTGCTGTTCCACTTATTTATACACTAGAGGCCCGGTGCATGAAAATTCATGTACTGGTGGGATAAGGGGATCCCTCAGCCTGGCCTGCACCCTCTCAATCTGGGAGTCCTCAGGGGATGTCCTACTGATGGCTGGGGAGCGGGCCTATGCCATGGTCTGGCTTCCCTCTGCAGGACACAACTGGGCTGGCCCATTGGGACCGTGCCACCCCCATTACACACACCCCTCCACTGTTGCTGCCTGGCCTTCCTCTGCAAGAGACAACCAGACTGGCCAATCAGGGAATGGTACTGGCCGCCCCAATCGCCCCTCCGCTGCTGGTCACCATTTCCTCCCTCTGCCCACTGGCATGTGCCTTGGTTGGCCTGGCACCGTACCCTGCCGACTAGTCATTCCTCATTCAGTCGATTTGCATATTATGCTTTTATTATATAGGATTCATTGTTATGTGCTTTAACCAGAGATCAAACCCGCAACCTTGGCCTATTATCATCATACTCCAACCAATTGAACTACTGAGCCAGGGCTTCATCACCCCAATATAACTAAGTTACATAATTTAGTCAAAGCCAAGAAATATATTGTGATGAATTTTATTTCTTTTTTTTTTTTTTTAAATATATATTTTTATTGATTTATTACAGAGAGGAAGGGAGAGAAATAGAGAGCTAGAAACGTCGATGAGAGAGAAACATCGACCAGCTGCCTCTTGCGCACCCCCTACTGGGGATGTGCCGCAACCAATGTACATGCCCCTGACCGGAATCGAACCTGGGACCTTTCAGTCTGCAGACCAACGCTCTACCACTGAGCCAAACCGGTTTCGGCTGAATTTTATTTCTAATACAGACTTTTGTGTGTTTTTTCCCTACAAATGAATGGCTTTCTCACTTGCATATTTTCAATTTTTTTAAATCCTCACCTGAGGGTATTTTGTTTATTGATTTCTAGAAAGAGAGTGGAAGGGAAGGAGGAGAGATGTGTCAACATGAGAGACAGCTGAATTGTTTGCCTCCAGCACAAGCCCTTACCAGAGCTGAGGAACCTACAACCTAGGTACATGCCCTTGACTGGGAATTGAACTCTCAACCCTCTGGACTGACATTCTAACCACTAAGCCAAACCAGTCAGGGCTCACTTCCATATTTTTAAATGAACCTATTATTAAAATGTTACATATTGTTCCATTATAACTACCATATAAAAATTTTTTTCAAATATTTTTATTGATTTCAGAGAGGAAGGGAGAGGGAAAGAGATAGGAACATCAATGACAAGAGAGAATCATTGATTGGCTGCCTCCTGTGCCCCTCTATTGGGGATCGAGCATGCCACCTGGGTATGTGCCCTGCTTGGGAACTGAACTGTGACCTCATGGTTCATAGGTCAATGTTCAACCACTGAGCCACACCTGCTGGGCCTGATACTTTTTTACTGAAACATTTCTAGATCTGTAGTTTCCTAGGTCTAATTTCTCTCTGTTTAAGTGTCCTGCCTCATTTACTAGAACACATTCTCTAGTACCTTCCTAAGGAAAGATAGCGTGATAGGTAAATTTTCCAAGTCTTTGTTTAAAATGTCTGTTTTGTACTTGATTGATAGATTGGGTATAGAATCTAGATCATAAGTCGTTTTCACTAGAAATGATTTTTAAGAATTATTTTTCAGCCCTGGCTAGTGTTTCTAAGTTGTTAGAGCATCCACCTATGCACCAGAGGGTCATGGGTGTGATTCCTGGTCAAGAGCATGTACCTAGGTTGCAGGTTTGATCCCAGGCCTGGTTAGGGAACATGCGAGAGGCAACCTAAATCAATGTCTCTCTCACATTGATATCTCTCTCTCTCTCTCTCTCTTTCTCTCTCTCTCTCTCTCCAATCCTTCCTCCCTACCTTCTTCTCTCTAAAAATCAATAGAAAAAAATATCCTTGAGTGAGGATTAACTACAACAACAACAAAATAATTTTTTAATGCATTGTTCCATTGTCCTCTAACAGTGTGTAGGCTGATAACATTCTCATTCTCTGTCCTTTGTTGTGTAACTTGTTGAGGGATGTTTTGTGTTTTAGTTTTGTTTTTTTGGTCTCTAGAAGTTTTTCATTTCTTCTCTATCCCTTATGTTTTGGTTTTTTTGTTTTTTTGGTTTTTGTTTTTTTAATGTTTTTAAATGTCTTTTTATTGATATTTTAGAGAGAGAGAAAGGGAGAGAGAAACATTCACCCTGACTGGGGATCAAACCTCCAACCTGGGGATGTGCACTGACCCAGAACCCAAATGGCAACCTTTCAGTGCACGGGTTAATGCTCTAACTAACTGAGCCACACTGGCCAGGGCATATCCCTTATGTTCTTACATTTTACATTGAGGAGCTCTTGTGTTATTCTGCTTCCTATTTTTAAGCCCAACGCTTGGTAAACGCTTTTAATCCTGAGGTTAGCATCTCTTAATTTTGGAAATTTTACTTGTATTATTTCTGTGATAATTTCTTTCCCTCTTTTTCTTTCTGTTCTTTTCTAGGAACCCCTATTAATCTGATGTTGGATCTCCTGGACTTATCCTCTATGATTTTTATCACTTCTTTATTTTCAAATTCATTTTCTTAAAGATTTCCTTAACCCTGTTTTCTAATTCTTCTGAATTAGTTAAGAGTATATCTGAGTGCATGTTACATAAAACCCAGGTACAGCAGGTTTGGAGGTAGGCTGTCCAGGGGCTGACCGTGCTCTGACTGTGTCCTCAGTGCCTGTCTCTGTCCTCACGGTGGTGGCTGCTGGAGTCCAGCCGTCACACCGATATCCCAGGTCCCAGGAGGGAGGAAGCCAACGTAGTTCCCTTCAAGGAGCCTTCCTGAAAGTCCACACAACACTTAATTAGCTGTGTGTTGTGCCTAGCTACCGAAGAGCCAGGGAAATGTACTCTTAGTTGAGTAAATTGCCTAATAAATCAGGCAATTTACTGATAGATAGATTTCTCTTTCTTAGTGGTCATGACTCATTGTACACTTCAGGGTGAATTAGATGAATGAGATATGGTGGCATTCTCTGCCACACCTGTCCAATGTTGAATGTTGACCATAAACCTTTTAATTTTTAAGAACCTTTTTGTTCTTTGATTATATCCTCGTCTTGTTGGACGGATACAG